TCTTGTCTGATCCAATGGGGGCGATTGGAAATTTCTGGAGACTTTGTTCCCCTTTCCTCCTCTTCCTCCTTCACAATCATCATGTTCATCATTATCACGCTGCCAACACATAATCATGTTTCCTCTGTGCAAGATAATTTACATGCATGAGTACAATTTTGAAAGTCGTGCAATAAAATGAACTTCACTTTCCTTATCGTCTTCCTTTTACACATGAAGGAATCTGATGTTCAGACACGTGAAATGATTTACTTAAAGCTGCAGAGAGAGTAAGTGCTGGAGCCAGGATTTCAAACAATGTCTGTCTGGCTCCGGAGCTATTTCCACGATGTAGCTCTGGTATTTTAGGAATGTCAGTCTGGCAGAAGTTCAGCAGGATGGTTCAGAGTGGGCGTTGGAGTGATAGAGTGCAGGGAGGAGGCGGTGAGAAAACAGGGCAAAGGCCAATTCCAGCATCTGCAAATCCAGGCTAATCGCAATTCTCTCAGGTGGTCCACTATCCTTTGGGGATAGAAAGAAGAAATTGATGCTGAAAATAAGCACTTTTTACATTTAAATAGGCTGTTTTCGCATTCAACCCTTACGCTTTTCTCTCTTTTATTTTCTTGAATATTGTATTCAAAGAAGACAGCTTTTGATGTCTCAGGAAATGTCATCACTGATTTTCATCGAATGTCACCACACATGAAATACGTGAGGTGACTGGCAATAATAGGGACACATGGGTTTTCTTTGTTTCTTTTTGATGTGTGATGTGAATGAGTGCTTAGTGACCACACCTTCTTAAAATTATGCAAAAAATTGATTATCAAAGAAAAGTATCATCTCAGCTTCATTTCAGTGGGGGAAGAGCATTTATAAACTATATGTTGCTAATAGTGTCTACTACAGTATAACCATAGGAAAAAGAATAGATCCTGGTTATTGACACCTTCGCCCTCATATATCCAAACCTTACACATACTATTTTACTTTTTCTCTGAACAGAACAGGACTAGTATCTGGAATAGTACTCATTTTCTTTTTCCTCTTTTTCATTGTTTTCAATTAAATAAAACTATATGTGTACACGGGGTCTGACAATTAAATTCGCATACTTGTTGCAATGATGTTGCTAACCTTTTTTGATATGAGAGGGATTATTCATTATGAATTTGTACCAACTGGACACACAGTTAACCAAGTTCACTATTTGTAAGTGCTAAAAATGCTGCATGAAAAAGTTAGACGACCTGAAGTTTTCGCCAACAATTCATGGCTCTTGCATCACAACAATGCACCAGCTCATAAGGCACTGTCTGGGAGGGAGTTTTTAGCCAGTAAACAAATAACTGTATTGGAACACCCTCCCTATTCACTTGAACTGGCCCCTAGTGACATCTCTCTTTATCCAAAGATAAAGAAAATATTGAAAGGAAGACAATTTGATGACATTCAAGATATCAAGGGTAACACAACAACTTTTATGGCTATTCCAGAAAAACAGTTCCAAAATTGCTTTGAAGGGTGGACTAGGCACTGGCATCGGGTGCATAGCTTCCCAAGGGGAGTGCTTCAAAGGTGACCATAGTGATATTCAGCAATGAGGCTATATAGCATTTGTTTCTAGAATGAGTTCGCAAACTTAATTGTCAGGTCTCTGTGTGAGTGTGTGTGTGTGTGTGTGTGTGTGTCTGTGTGTGTGTGTGAGTGTAGTGTCTATGCTGCCATTTTAGCATTGTGCTATCTGCTGTTTTAGAAGCTTACTGTTCATTTAAGTACATTTTACTGCACTGTTTGCTATGGCCCCAAACAAATGAGGATAGTTGAAATGTAAAGACTCATCTTTTAAATTTATGATTACTAAAACAATAAATTCTTTGTCATTTCAGATGTTTGGTTAATGACTGTAGACATTTTATTTTAATTAAATAGGTCCATTAAATAAGGCTGTTTTCCTTAGAAGGCCTTTTGTATACCCAGTGCTCTGTCTTCAGTGCCCTGACTGGTTGTACTATTGGGTTGTCAGAAAAGTCATGACATATTTTGTCTGTGTTTTTCAAAGGTCATTTATGTATATAAAGAACAAAGATCAACCAATCATATATTGCCCATTTTGTTCGATAACCATTTGCCATCTTTCATTGAGCTTCATAATTCCTCGTTCATAGAAGGACCTGTCTTTATTTGTGAAAAACTGCACAAGGTGCTGATTTACAGCCTCATCTGAATTGAACGTTATGCCACGCAAAGAGTTTTGAAGACAGCAACTCAAGTGGAAGTCTGATGGCACAAGGTCAGGTGAGTATGGTGGGTGTGGCAACACATCCCATCCAAGCTCCAATAATTTTTGACTGGTGATCAAACTTGTGTGTGGTCTTGCATTGTTGTGATGAAACACNCATTATCCAGAGAGATAATACATACACATGCGAGCATACCTGATGTACACGGAGGGATTGGAGGGACAAGAGGCAACACCAAAGGGAGTGGGCAGAAGAGTGACACTGATCAACAAGAAGACCTGATGAGTGTTGTGATCAGATAGAACAGAATCTTCACGTCGGCGGGATTGTGAACAGTGTCACAGGCTGTGTAGACAGCAAGTAGAACAAGGACTGAGAGGACTGTGTACATTGAAAAGAAAACAAAATATGCATGAGTGCATGTGTCTGTGTGTGTGCATGTATGTGTGCACATGTGCATGTGTGCACGTGTGTGTGCATGTGTGTCCATGCTTGTGCGTGTGTGTGTACATGTGTGCATACATGTGTGCATGTGTGTGTTTTCAGACACTCACTTTGCTGCCTTAAAGGGAGTAGGTGGCAGATTATACGGATTCTTAGCTGGAGGGAGTACTTTCAATAATTTGGAGAGGAGAGGAGAATGGTACCTACAAGGAAATTGAGTGAATTGAATGCGAAATGCATTGACATATATGAAATTGCCTGAAGAATTTACGGTGTTTAAAATATCATGGGAAAATCCAGACAAAAGGGAGCGTTCAAAGAAAGAGGAGAGAGAATGGTGGTCGATCATAATCCCTTAGAAGATGGGGGAAGGGAGACCTCAGTGGGTTCACTGTCTACTGGAGAAGGGTCGCCCTTTCCGCAGTAAGGAGAGAAGGATGCTGGTAAGCAGAAAGAGATGACACAGACGCTATTCAGCTAAGAAGAATCCTCCAAATTAGGAAGGGAGGAAGAATAAAACAATTTGAAGGGGACATTAACTCCCTGGCTTTCAAATGCTGCTTTCACGCTGTTGATAAGGAATAGAGTGACTGCATGTCTTCCGCCCCCTCTTCCTCTGGGGGATCTCTGTGCTGGTAGTTTCACCCAGAGAAGCTGTGTTTCATGTGGCCTACCATCGCTCCTCTCCATCAGAACACTTCCTGACAGCTGTGTCATGTCACTGGAAAGCCACCCCGTTTCCCCTCCAGGGGAAGGGGTCAGACAGCCCAGCTGGGGTCTGTGGAGCCGGCAGTGTCCCGGGCCTGCCAGCATGACTGAAATCAGAGGTTTTACTAAATATTTCATTATTTTTTTTTCTTTTTTTAGTGGGGCAATATAATAAAAATCATGATAAAAACAATAATGTTTTCTTTTGTTCCTGTGACCTTAGGGTCTTGACAGATAGACGTTTTTTTAGTTTTTTTATGTTTTTTTTTTTTGCCGTTTTGTTGTTTCTATTACCCTTACAAGTTATGCCTGTTATTATGAAACAGAGCAAACTTGTGGACGAAGGGGCGGGTGTTTTCTTTTTCACTCACGGCACATCGTTTCCAATGGGTTGTATGCAAAACGTTGGCTAACCATGCTTTGTTAGGGCACGCTGAAATGATTTCATTTCAGTTCACTCACTTGTGATCCACAGAGGGTGGTGTGGTATTGGCTTTGATAAAACTTCACAACCAATGGGAACCTTTTTCGAATTAGTGCGGAGTGGCCTTAATGCTGGAAATCATCCTGTTGGCCAGGACCCCAGAGCTATCCAGATGAGAAAAGGATGCAGGAAATTCTGTTGTTTACGCATGTGTGTGTTACACTGAGCCGCCGGAGCAGCCCAGCAAGCCCAGAGGGTAAGATGCTTAATAACCTTGTGGTTTTCTACTTAATTTTTATATTTTCCTGCTGGGGCAGAGCATGTGTTGTTCTCGCAGCAAAGAGAAGGACAGTTACTTGTAAGATGCAGAACAAAACCACTGTAGGTCTGGGAAACAGAGGGATTTGGAGTTTCTGCTTAAAGAAGACTTGATTTCTTCCCTCCCCTCTTCCATGTCCCACTGTTGGTATTATTTATCCTGACAGCTTGTCATACATTTCCTGTCTTTATTTTTTATTTTTTTCAAAAAAAACCAAACTGTGTATTAAACAAAATTCAGGTAAGACTTTCACTCTAAATGTAGACAGTAATATGTTGATAGTAGAACCTTGTTTGGTAGTTTTCAAGTGGCTATGAGTTAGTTGGTCAATGTGTTTGAAGTAATCTATATTGTCAGAGGAAGAAAAAAATAACATCGTTACGCAAACCCTCATTTGTTATGCTTCATGTTTGTTTTCACTTTGCTAATCCTCATGCTGAATTCCTGTCATTGTTAGCAGAAAAGTATACGTCAAACTTAGCAGTAATATTGATTTCTTTATAGAAGTTACCTGCGTAGTGGAGAGGAGATAGGGACATAGAATAAAATAATGAAATCCTATACATAATAAAAAGGAAACGGATGCTTAATTGTACAGAAAGTGATTACAGAACTGAAGAAAAAAAGATCTCTAGAAACCATTGGGAAGTATTTGCTTATGTTTCCTGCAAAGATAAATTATAAAGTGAATGTTCAGTGGGTACATCTATTAAATAGAAATATAAGGAAGATATTCTTAAATACATAATTAGAATGATGGAAGTAAAATGGTATTGAAATACACATGATATTTCTTGATATTTTCATTACATCAATGCTAATTTTTCTACTTTCTAAAAGTATGCAAACACATTTTTGTTAATAATTTTGTGGGATAGGGTGTTGTTACGACTTGATTAAATGTTTTGTTGTTAATCATTTTATTGTCAAACATCCTCACATATACATTAAGTGTTCTCAAATTGTGACTTTTATCCATATTTTTACATCAGCATTAGATTAGAAATAAATCTCGAAAAGCTAGTGATAACAATATGTGTATTGTTGTTATTCACAATATGTGAATATTGTGTGATTTTGCAATATCAATTTAAAATATCAGTGTTTGTATTTGAATGATATCTAGAAAAAATGCTTGATATGAATTGCTTTTTATTCAAAACGTTAAAAAATAGTTTTCTTGTGAAATAACGGATCATTTAATGGTCTCCCTTTGGCATTCTTTGTTTGTTTTCATCGGATTCAGTACCTGCTTAATCACTGGGACATAGCTTCTTGGTGCCTCGCTGTGGGTGCAGCCTTGAAATTTATGAGGGTTTCATTAAAATATTAGAGCCACAAACATAATGGCAGTAATTCTTTAAAATTGAAAATGATCTCAGGCCACTTCTAGTTGAAAATGTAGCCTGTCTCTTCTGCTGATATTACAAGGTCAATTGAATTCTGCCATAATGCCAAAATCTTCAAAAATCTCCTTTTTATTAGCAAGATTGTAGAGAAGCCTTGGAAGAAAAGTCTGGCTTCTTGAGCTTAGTCATGAAACATCAGTGGAACTTGGGTAGCTGCTGATAAGCAAAAAGACTCTTCTACTTTGTAGTAGTTAGAGCAAAGGGCTTTCAGGCATGAATTAACACAAAGCAGGGAGGACAGAGATGGGTAATCTGCCTCACTGAGGCAGAAGAAACACACACCTTCGTGAGGAGCAGACATGGAGCTCCATGGAGAGAGCAGACGAGGCTGTGGAGCATCTTCAGCTGC